CATATCAATTTCTTTTCAAAATTGTCCTCTTAAAGTGACCTATTCGAACGTGTAGTAAAAGGTAGGGTATTCCATCTAAGAAACATCAAGTTTGATATGTGGGTCAAAATCGGTACAAGCTGTAGAACTGAAAATATTTTAGAAATATGCCTCAAAATGCCATAAATAATATGCTATGAATATTTTTCAGAATTTTGACTTATGTGACAGGTTATAATACGTAATAGTGATGGTGGTGGAAGCATTTACCTTCATTAGGTTTGTGCCACTCTTTGCAAATAATGTTAGTAATCAAAATTGTCTAACACCACAATTATCTGCAAACACTGGAATTTCAAAAAATAACAGTAAAAACTCAAATTTAAAAAAATTGTCTTATTCTACATGCACTTTGATCCATACTACAGACTATGAGAATTAGGAGGTTTCTGGCTTCTTCTACCTAGCCTGAATTTGTTGGCCGCTCCTAACTTGTTGGATCTCTATCGCACTCACACAAACATACACTGAGCGCGCCCTCAATTAACAATTAGAAAACAAAAGTCTACAATAACAGTACGTCCTCAAACCTATCAATTTTTCTAGTTCTTGGTTGTCTTTTATCCTGAGAAACCTAAAAGCTCTGACCAGAGCAAAAATACAATTTTTGATATTTGTTTAAAAAATATTCAAAAAATCCGAATCAGAGTGTTTTCCCATCATATGCGAAGATATTGCCTGCACTATAACACAAACTTCACTTATGTTGCTTCGAGATGTATCTGGTATAGTTTGAAACAGATTCATCCGAAGACAGAAAATCACTACGAACAATTTTAGAACGATTAGGAGGTAATAGCACCAGATTGAATAAACTATTTACAAAACATCTTCATCTCCACCCAGCCATCGGGGTTGCATCCCAGCTGACTAGCCATTCATTATCTCGGAAACCGTTGATGAATCCAATATGGCGGCCCATTCGACTGAACCGCCTGCTGATAACGTATGTACGTACAGACAGACGGACAGAGGACGGCACGACACAGATCTGGAATTATTCAAGTTATCACGTTAGCCTCGATGTGACGCGTCGGCATTTTAATTTAGACGACAAGGGACTGAAGCTTGTTATAAAACAGAAATTAGCTTTGCAGGAAAGAAAGGTAGAACGCTGGAATCGTTTGACGAAAAGAATGGCCCAGGCGGGTAAATTATGCAACGATATTTAGTGGAATACGGAGACGACATTACATGGATATTAAATAATTAAAGATTTACGAGCTGTTCAAGATTAATATTCAGAAAATACTAGGACTTAGATCTGGACTATATGGAGGATGGTCCAATAATTTCACGTTTTCTTCCGTTAAAACTGCCCTGTTTTCTGGGCTGTGTGCGAGCTTGCATTGTCTTGGTGGAGGATGATTCTCCTTCCGGGGTTGATTTTTCGAAGCTCGGTGATGACTTTTGACAAACAAATGGTGGTATATCAATCCGCAGTAGCAGTTCCTTGCTCATTAAGAGAAATTGTTGCAATATGACCCCCTTTTGACACAAATGTCGCGACCATCTTTTTCGAAACACTTCGAGAACGGATGACTTTATTTGGCTTTTCTTCACCTTGGAACACCCAAACAGCCGACTGTCGTTTATTGACACCAATTAACCCTGGCGGCTTTCTGCTCTTCAGTCAAGAGGTCGGGTATTCAACGAGAAACTAATTTTCTTACTCCTAATTCTTTATGTAAAATTTTTTGAATTGAGGTCTGAGATCTTCAAGGACGCCTCAACCTCGCGATATGTCACATGTCTATCTTCAATGATGAGTTTGCGCGCAGCATCGACGGTCTCCTGGGTGACTGCCGTTTTTGGTTGTCGCTAAGACTCACCCGTCCACGTTTGAATTGTCCATAAAAAACTAAAATTGTCGACTGATGTGGCGCTTCGTTGCTGAAAATACACAGTAACTCAGCAAAGCATTCTTGTTGCGATAATTGTCTCTGAAAGTTGTAATAAATTATGGCGCGAAAATGTTCTCGGTTGAGTTCCATTTTTCTAATGACTTGGTGACACTTAAAAATTCACTGTAGTGAGAACACTGCACGTATTGTTGTGAAACTTTGAATTTAAGTTTACTACTTATTTGTCGATTGCGCTCAAATTACAATTTTCAACGTTTACATTGTATACTTCATGTTTTGTTGTATAATGTCGCATAATTTCCATACTTACGGACAGCTACAGCCGGAACTGCCATACTCTTTAACTGGTGTCTGATAAACAGGGTACTATTCGAAACAGAACGGACTCTAACGGCTTTTTTAAACTATTTTTCAATTGACTAATTACGGAAAAAAGTAGGAAGAGGAAGAAGTTTTTCTGGATCTGACATGCCTGTATTTTTTCACCTAGGTATAATGCAGTGATAAGGTCTGATAAATTTTTAGTGTGACGTCATAACTCAGTCTCACGCTCCAACAAGATAGTTCTCTAAACAAAGAACTTCCAGGTAGCCCAACTTTGTCGTTTATTAACTGTATTAAAAAAAATCTTCAGTGCTATACTTGACCTTGCTTAGATTTTATCATATTAAGTGTGTTTCATGAAAAAGGAATCTCTTTCATTTAATTCCATAGGAGGTTTGCAAAGATAGGCGACACGTGAGGTAATAATAATAACAATGATAATTTATTGGTGCTATTGCACAGAAATGTGTTTGCACAAGTCAGTTAATGTAGAACATTAAATAGTAAGTGAGAACAACAAACAATACTGAAACAAGCCAAACATGAAACGCAAATAGAAAGTAAATACCTTGATAAAACCAAAATTAAAGATGAACAATAACCAAACATGGTCAAAACATATAAATGAGATTAAATACAATAAAAAATGATCCAGCATGACAAAAGTTGAGGAAGTCTGCGATGTTAAAAAAGCTTCAGATAGCAGGAAGCATTTCATAGTTTTGCCAAATTGTTCAACATCGAGAGATATTATTTTATATGGAAATAGGTTGTAGGATGTTAATTCGTGGTAGTTAACACCGCCAGAATTTCTTGGAAAGGCGATGACGATTTGGTCACAAATGTTCTTTGTTTCTGGTGTTATGATTATGAGTACCTTGATGAGTTGTATCATTGCGAGAGCAAGTGCTAACATGAGGCAAGCATAGATGTATCCACAAGGCAATGTCATGATATTCAAATCAATGAATTCATTCCGGTAAGAATCCCTGTACCCCAATATTCACAAGTATCACATTTTCTCTGTAAGTCATGTGTGGAGAATAACCCCATTCCAGAATGGCGTCAGTGATCCTACTGAAGAACTATGCATGATAACTTTTGAGCAGTGCTTTCCGAGACGCGGAATTTCTTAGATTACGTATCACATGTATAGCTTATGTTTATTTCAAAAATGTAGCTACATAAGCTATATGGCCAGTTCACAGAAGAGTCAACGTACACCCCTAGAAACTTTACTGTTCTTTCGTTGTCATCATTTGTGTCAAATCCAACTTTATCGGAAATGGGACATTCAACATGCACAATTTCCATTCATAAAGCGTGGAAAATCCACACGCTATTCGCCGACACAGCGTTCAACGTCAGTTCGGCGTTAATTTATGGGCTGGAGTACTCAACAAAAAATTAATTGGACCATATGAATTGTCCGCCAGGTTGAATGGTCAGTCATATCTTGCCTTTCTGCAAATCAATACGCATGAACTGTTAGAGGATGTACCTTTGGACGTTCAGAGCCGCATATATTATTAATATGATGGTGCCCCATGCCACTGAGCGTTGGATACGATGGCCTCCAAGGGCACCCGATTTAAGTCCTCTTGATTTCTTTATATGGGGGTTTTATAAGCGAATAATCTGTACATAAGACAATAATCTTCCAAATTTGTCGGAAGATCGCCATAAAGAGCGGCAAAATACAATAGTTTCTGTATTTGTTGGTGCGTTTCTTACGTTTATCACATCACAACAACTAATGTGACATGATACACTCATCGTAGCAAGCTGAAATTTTCAGGGTTTATTCTACATGGATTGAAATAGTTTTTGCAATAAAATGAATAATGAAATACAATTTTTTTCCGCCCTCCAAAGTTGAGGATGGAAGAGATTTTTCACAAAAAATGGATCTAAGATTTTTGCGTTGATGTCTAGCAAGCTCCGTTAAAAAATGACAAAACCATTGCTAAAACTAACCATTTAGCTCATACCAGAAACAAATTACAGCCCTAAGCCTAATAGTTTAGTTGTAATTGCGATTGAAAGTTCATTATCCCGTTTGTTTCGAAATTTCACAAAATTGCAAATATCTCTTGAACTATAAAATTCGGACCACACATATACAGGCGCATTCGGTAGGTTTTGAAGCCCCATATCACCTGACGTCCGTTGATCTGCTACTCACTTTACACCCTGCATAAGAAGAATAACAATGGTCCAAGTGCAGATCCTTGGAGAACCCCATGCAAAATTGTTATGGTTTGCAATTTTTGTACTCCTCAAATTGATGCCTTACAGACAGGTAAGACTTGAAATTTGCATACTGTATGGAACAATGGAATAGAAAAGAGGTTTTGATAGTATCATCTCATCCTGCAAACAATTAAAGGCTTAAATTAGATCGAAGAAGCCAGCCTTCATGTATAATTTGTTCTTAAAACTCTCGTTAACTGTTTCAGTGAAACTGTTTATTGCGGTTGTCGTTGACATAACTTCCCTGAAACCAAAATGACAAGTATTTAATACAGTAATGTCCGCTTAAAACGAAGTTCGTAATAAACGACAAATAATGCTAATACTAGAAAATATTTTTGATTAGTTTATTATTCAACCAGGGGTATATAAAATGTTTGTAACAGTATATAATAATATCTATAATCCACATTTATAAAAGTTTTTGAAAATATTTCTTAAAAAAATCATTTATTTTAGTTTGGTGTATTTTTGTGAAATGAATGTCATTAATTTGTAATTGAACTTTAGCTAGTCGATCTAGCACACGCTGCGGAGTATTTCGTGTCTGAAGGAAATGACGAACGCTGTAAATATGTCGAAGTGCTTCTGATAGGTTGGAGTTGATATCAGTTCCATACCGACAGATTCTTCATCTTTATTTTTCTTTTCTTCGTCATCATCAGTATCAACTGCCGAAGATATAGCAGCTGCAATGGCATCATTATCCAGGTATTCGACAGTCATAACTTGGTCATCAATCTGAACAAACTCATTGAAATCATTTTCACTATAAGGAAGACTGGCTCTAATATTGTCTCGAAGATCGTCTTCCTGTTGAATTTTCTTCATCCACTCAACTAACGGCAGGTCATCGTCGGGATCAAAATGATCCTCAACCTCCAAAAAACCCTGTATAACAGAAGCGAGCGTATTCTGTTGGGTTCCTTTACACACCTTGAAGCGACGTTTCACGTTCAGCTTGTGAAACAAATTCAAGTGTTTCCGCGGTTCTCTTCACATCACTTAGCCTCAGTTAGCATGCCAACTAAATGGTTTTGAGGTATAGACTTGAATTGCTACCGCACAAATAACTTATCAAATTATTGACCTATCGCGTATTAGTGAATCAACAACAATGTAATGTTATCCTATCGATCTAAGGCAATTTAGCTTCAAGGAGCTCTGTGCACGAGGATTCGATGTTGGTACAGCCAGAGGCGAGAGAAGTGGGCGGTCATTAACATATTCCGACTGGGGAATTACACAATGGTTAATTGGCTGACGGAAGATTGAGGAACTAATTGACCGAAGCGCCGCTGCTGAATGCAGATGGACGCGCAAAGATATCTTTCTGATGCTAGCTGCTAATGGCTCTTTAATGTCTTCACTCTCAACTGATTATTCTAGTTGCATTCTTGATGTCATATCAGTTGCTAGAAATGTACCACTGGTTTAAATGATGTTTATGGCAAATCGAGATTCATTTCAGTTGTATACCGGGTGCCTGCGAAAAGTTGGAAAATCTCGAAGCTGGAGCAAACTTCTAACACTATTACAGCACTATTTCGGTAAATAACTCATCATGACTTTTTTGTGCTACCCTGTATATAACAACTGACCGGATGTTATTTTTCATTTTCTGGCTAAGGTGGAAAATTCTTTGTCGAAGATCATCTACAGTTTCCACTGGGGTATTGTATACGCGTTGTTTTAAATCACCTCAGAATCCATAGGACATAAATCTGGTGATCTAGCCGGCCACGATACAGGTCCTGATCGGCCTATCCACTCCAAAAATAAGGTGGAGAGCCGTCGTGCATAAACCACATATTTATGCGTGTTTGTAATAGAAGATCTTCCAGCAGTGTTGGTAATTTTTCTTCAAGAAATTGTAAATACATTTGGCCACTTAGTCTTTGGGGGGTCATCATCCGCGCTCAAACCATGTAGTTTTTGCAGGTCATATGGATGGAGCATGGTATTCACTGTACATTTGGAAACTTGAAATTCTCGAGCTACATTCCTAACACCAACTGTAGGATTTTCAAAACAGCATATAAAACATTTTCTTCAACTTCAGCTGTACGTACAGTTCTGGGAGCTCCACAATGTCGGCCCATATTTTGAGCAAAACTACCTAAAATCCAAATGGCTTTTACTACTCAAAATAATCTTTTATTACCAGTTTCTCGTAACCGCTGATCCATTCATTGGAAAGTCTTTGAATTAGGCAGGTGTCTATTAGGGAATCTGTCAACATAAAATCTTCGTGCTTTTAAAGCATTACATCTTGCCAATCCGTACATTCAATGCATATCATAATATGCATCAAACGTATACTGCATGATGTTTAACAACCTATTGTCAACTTAAAATTGTTCATGAAGTGTAAATCAATATTGCGACAAACATTAGAAACCATAGCAACGCTACTCAGATATTATCCAAAGCAGCTTGATTATTATCTTATAAAAATCATGGTACAAGTAATGCATTGGAACTTTTAAAGACAAGTAACTCGAAAACTGTTAGCTTTAGTGAAGCTTTTTTGTTGTAGGAATACGACAAAATAGGATTTTTTGGTTAGTCTTCATATACAGGGTATACAAAAAAGTTATGATAAATTACTTACCAAGATAGTGCCAAAATCTGAAATACAGGGTGGCCCATAAGTCCTTTGAGCTGGAAAAAAAGGAATAAAACCAAACTAGTTACATTATGAAGAATTATTATATTTTGTTATCATCTTTATTGAATGGGAATTATGTTTTAAAAATCACATCGTCTAAATGCAATCCATTACGATCACGGCACTCATATACACGACGTCTAAAATTGTCGATGACTGCGCGGCAAGTCAACACTGTAATGCTTGCCATTTCTCTTCGGATATTTTCTTTCAGGACATCAACTGATCGCGGAGTGGTGTCGTACACTTTACTCTTGAGGTAGCCCCATAAAAAGAAGTCCATTGGGGTCAAATCTGCACTACGTGGTGGCCAGGAAATGTCTCCTCTTCGAGAAATTACTTTGCTGGGAAAAAGTTGACAGACGACGGGCATAGAAGTGTTGGAGGTGTGGGCAGTTGCTCCGTCCTGTTGAAACCAGGTCTGCGTATTATAGCCTGGAAAATTCTGCAACGCTGGTGTCAAAAACTCTTCTATCATTGCTACATACCGCTCCGAAGTAACAGCTAATGCGCGACCTCTGTCGTCCTCAAAAAAATAAGGGCCTACGATGCCATGCGCTGACATAGCAGCCCAAACTGTAACTTTAGGGTTGTGTAAGGGCTTCTGATGCTTACGCCTTGGATTTTCGGGGCTCCAATAACGGCAATTTTGTTTATTTACATGCCCGTTTAAATGGAAGTGAGCCTCGTCCGAGAACAACACATTATTGAGCGAAGAAAATCGATTCAACATTTCATTCGCAAGGTTTAGTCTCTGAATAGCATCATTATCTTTTAATTCCTGCACTAACTGAATTTTGTAAGCGTGCAGACGTAAATCTTTCCTTAAAATCCGCTGTAAAGATGTTCTGGGTACGTTTAGTGCACTGGAACGCTTACGAGTAGACTGGGTAGGATTTTGACGAACAGACTGTGCCACAATGTTGATGTTTTCTTCAATACGAGTTGTCCTTGGTCGACCCCACCGCTGTTTATCTAACGTCGAACCAGTCTCTTCGAATTTAGCAACCCAGTTCTTAATCGTTTGAGCTGTTTGACACTTTGTAAAATTGTGTAAATTGTGGTACTCTCGATATTTACGCCGCGCAATGGTTGCCGAATCATTATTTTGATAAAACGCGCGCACACAAAAAGCACGATCCGCTCCAGTGAAACACTCCATGGCGACTGAATTCCCAGACACTGAAGATACTGCCCCCACCTCGCCCGCACCGCTCACGCTCATCCGTTAAATTTTATTCAAATTTGAAATTTCAAAGGACTTATGGACCACCCTGTACTTCTCAAGCAATAGAAGTAATAGAAAATAAAATTGTAACTTTGACACCCTGTATCTCGCAAACTATCAACTTTTGGACTAAGGTATCTTTAGGTCAATTCACATATTTTGGTCTGTAGTATATCTAGTTCTGTGATTTCCCGACCTTTCGCAGTAGTTCAAGAAAACTTTGCCATATTTTGACTAGTCAATATACAAAAACGTCAACTTTGACCGCTTTCCGGTACGCCATTTTGAAAGATAGTTGCTCTATACAGGATGTTCGAAAAATAGACGGAGATATATTAGGGGGTGGTTTCTTTGTTCAAACAAATGAAAAAAGTTTCAAGACAAGATACAAGGTGATATACAGGGTGTTTCAGTTTATTGTTGCATAACTTTAAGATTCGATAGAACTTTTAAAATTAATGCATAAAGTCTATATAAACATGGGTCGAAAAATGCGTGGCTTCCGAAATACAGGGTGTTTAAAATTACTTTCCAAAATAGTTTTTTTTTTATTTCGAACAATATTTGATGTATAACAGTGAAAATTGGTATACAAGGGTTTTTTGGCACGACAAAACGAACCATGGGCAGACTTTTACTGTAGCCGCTAGAGGGCGCTCTCTACTGTACCTGTAGTGTATTAAAATGACCGAAAATTTTTTCTTAGTGCAATTTTTTGCTTTTTGAACAAAAAAAACTGATTCTTCGCATTTTTCAACATAAAAAAGCTCTCTCGTGAGTTTTCGTTATAGTTAGCCGTTTTTGAGATATTTCGATTTTTAAGGTTCGATGCATTTTTAATTATTTATGGGAAAATAATATTTTTCTTTTACATTTTCGATTTGGGCACTACAAGTAATTAAGATGAACGTTTAGATTGTGTTTTTAAACACAGCAATAATTCCTAACTCCAAATAAACACAAAAAAACCGAATATTAATTTGTTTAATTTTCCAATATTACTTTTAACAAATTAAATTAATTATTTACAACTAAAATGCTATTGGATAATTAGGACAAACATTCAAAATCTAAAGTAGTTGCTCTAAATGTAAACCCAATTGTTCAATACACAATTCACATCTACGAATGATCGAACGTGGTATAGCATTATTCAAATAAGGCCTTATTTCATCACAAGCACTCCTGATTCTATCTATTAGCATATCTCTTGAGGTTACGGGAGTCTGGTACACTTTTTCTTTTAGAAATCCCCACACAAAGAAATCTAATGGATCTGGGTCAGGGGATCGTGGAGGCCAGGCGACTGGTCCTCCACGGCCGATCCATCTTTCTCGATAATTTTCGTCAAGCCAGTTTCTAACTATTATATCGAATAATGAGCTGGACAACCAGCAAGCTGGAACCAGGCCAATCTTCTTAAATCTAACATAACATCATCCCACATATTTGCATGTTCAGCCTTTAAGAATTCCAAGAAGGTCGCAGCATTTAACCTTGCAGGCAAAAGGTAGGGTCCAAATAGTCGATTGCGGTAGATACCAATCCACACGTTCACACTAAATTCATGATGAAAATTTCTTTCCCGAACTGCATGCGGATTTTCATGCGACCAAATATATTGATTATGAAAATTTACCACTCCACGTGTAGTGAAGCATGACTTGTCGGTCCATAAAACGTTACTTAAAAACTCCCTATTATTATCAGTTCTATCAAGAATCCACTGACAAAATGTGATTCTTCGTTCTCCGTCACCTGGCTGTATCCTTGCACGGGTTGCAAATGGTAAGGACGTCTATGGTCATTTCTAAGAACACGGTGAACATGGCTTGTTGAAATTCCCAAGGCACCAGAAACCCTCCTAACACTCGTGGTCGGATCTCTATCAAACTCACGCAGAATCATACGGGTAAATCTGCGCTGACGAAC